CTGAATATCGCTCAAATTGTTTTCACTTGAAAAAAGAATAGTTTGGGGGGGGGGTCTGATTGAGGTGTTTAAGGTTGTAAAGTGAATTGATAGTGTTGATGCATCATCTGCTTTCATATTTAACAGTGAGAATAGCAGGAACAGGGGACACAAATATAAAGTTTGTCCAGGTACGAGTCATCTTTAACTAAGAGGGTGGTTGGCCTTTGGAATGGGTTGCCCTCACATGTTGTAGAGGCAGTAATTTAAGTGACTTTAAGAAAAAGCTTGATAAGTATATGAATGATAAGGATTGGCTTTAAAAACTTTTTTAAATTGTTTTTATTTAGTTTAAAGGAAGGAACAGCCAAGATGGACCAATAGGTCCAATGTTGTCCCAAAGTGTTATGTTATGTTAATTAATGCAGTCATCTTGTTTGATCTTATTTCCACCTATAAACTGTTCAATATGTAGAATACTGCTTAAATCTTCATTAGTAAAAACCAAAGAAAAAGCAAAATTTGATAACCCAGCCATCTCATAATCATCAGATACTAGCCTTCCTTTATCCTTCCTCAGGGGTCCTACCTCCATCCTAACATTTTGTTTATCCTTAATGTATTTAAAGAAATCCTTACTGTTAATTTTTACATTTTCAACCAACCTTTTCTCATACATCCTTTTTGATATTTCGATTTCTTGTTTCACCAACTTTCTTGATCTTCTATAATCTTCTAAATTTCCTGTTATACTAGTCAATTTAAATATTTTATATTTATAGTGCTTTTTTTTAATTTTATCTCTTATACTCTTTGTGAGCCAACTTGTTTTTTACTTGCAGTTACCCTTTTCTTTATATAAGGAATATGTTTACCTTGAATATTTATGAATTTATCTTTAAAAATTTTCCACATCTGAACCCGTCTGTGTGGACTTTGAAGAAAAGGAGACAATTGTTTTAAGTTCTGGATACAACTGTGGTAACCCACAGTGTAATGTAAGTGAATTTATCCCAGATTATATAGTAAGAAACAGAGTAGAGAAAAATAATTCATCTTGTCAATTGGATTTGAAAGTAATTGAATCAGTCTGTGTGGACTTTTGACAAGAAAAAAGAATTATTTAGAATTTTTGATACAACTGTGATATTCTATAGTGTAAAGAAATTGTTTGTACATATGTTTGCCTTGTTTTGAATATATTATTTAGAAACAAGTAGATTGTGTGCTGTCAGTTTATTGGTTGAATGTATTGCCAACAAGTCACAGACACCTACTGTAAAAGAATCCTAGCCCACATATACTAAAACCCTGACAGCATGCTAGAGAGGATATTAAGTCTGAGAGGGATAACCCCAGACAATACTATTAAGAAATGAGCATAGTATGCTAGAGAGGATATCAACTTTGAGGTGGAGTACCCAAGATAATACCATTAAGAACTGTATATGGCATGCTAGAGAAGATATGAACTCTGAGAGGGATTACCCAAGAATATCATTAAGAAGTTCACAAAGCATGTTGTATCAATGAAAATTTAACCAGAGTAGACAAAGTATGTTTGAGAATGTTAGTGGATTACAACTGCCTGTTGAATGAAAAGGAGACAATGTTTGGCTTCTATAGCGAAACCTTCTTCAATATAGAAGCCGAAATGTCATCTCCTTTTCAATCATCAGCTGTAGTACATTAAAGTTCTCAAACATACTGAGGATATAAACTTTGAGAAGGATTACTTGAGGCATAACTTTAAGAACTGCATATAGCATGGTTATGTGCATATCAACTTGTACAATATGATCTGTACAGCACCAATAAAAACATGAATTTTAAAAGAAGTTTTCAGTAACACTGCACACAGTATGCTAATGAGAAAATCAAATTTTTATTTGAGGAAATCTATACACAGAACTAAAGACTACTATTTATGTCATATAAAAGAACTACTCACCTTAGATGGTTCTCTGTCTTGTGGCTGCTGGAATCCTTTCTGCATCCTACGATTAATAGATGCAGTAGGAGAGATGAAGTTAAGACTGCTAAGCCTCAGAATACCATCAGTTGTATCTAAACCTGATGATTGGTTGGGTGAAGGCACAAGCGGGGATGAGTGGGAGTAAAAACGACTAGATCCCACCCATTCCAAAACAGGCAGCATCAGGGCCATGCAGCAAAATTACATGCCAGAAAAATGGAGCATACAAAAAAAAAAAAGAAATACAAAATGCTTTGTCAGCATCAAAGGCCATGAAACAGAAACAAAAACAAGTTTTTAAAACTAAAATGAACTATTACAATTAGATAACACTGACCTTGCACTAAATCCATCAGCTTAAGCCATGGCATTGACATAATAGCAATAAACTGCTGTAGATATATATATTGTTCCAATTTCAACCTGTTTTACACGTTTGTACAGTAGTTTAAAAAATTAATTCAAGTTTGTTACCAATAAATAATTTACACAGTAATAATAGAGAGAGAGAGCAATATTAATAAATATCAAAAATAATAGCCACAACAAATAACTGTCAGAATATCAGCCACAACTAATACCCTTCAGAATAGCTGCCACAACAAATAACTGTCAGAATAGTAGCCACAACAGATAACAGTGATAATAGTAGCCACAACAAATAACTGTCAGCATAGTAGCCTAAGCCAATAACTGTCAAAATATTAAACACAACTAATACCTGTCAGAGTAGTATCAACAACTAATACCCTTCAGAATAGCAGCCACAACTAGTACTTGTCAGAATAGTAGCTACAACTAATGACTGTCATAGTTGTAGCTATAACTAATTATTGTAGTAGTCACAACTAATAACTGTCAGAACGGTAACTACAATTAACATACCATAATGTTTCGGGACAACATTGGACCTATTGGTCCATCTCAGCTGTTCCATCCTCTAAACTAAATTAAAATATAAAAAAAGTATTAAAACCAGCCCTTATCATTCATATACTGATCAAGCTTTCTCTTAAGCTCACTTAAATTTACTGCTTCCACAACATCCAAAGGCAACCCATTCCAAAAGCCAACCACCCTGTTAGAAAAATAAAACTGTGCCAGTTGAAGATGGCTCCTACCCTGCCAAAATTTATATTTGTGTCCCTTAGTCCTACTATTCTCACTGTTAAATATGAAAAATGATGATGCATCAACACCATCAATTCCCTTTACAATCTTAAACACCTCAATCAGATCCATCCTAACTCCTCCTTTTTTCGAGAGATTTCAACCTCTATTCGTATGACAATCCTTCTATCCCAAGCACCATTCTAGTAACCCTTCTCTCAACCCTTTTCAATAATTTAATGTCTTTCATAAGGTAAGGAGCCCAAGACTGAACACAATATTCCAAATGTGACCTAACCAGTGACCTGTACAATGAAAATATAACCTTATTAGATTTGTATTCAATATTTTTAATAGATACAACCTAAAATCCTACTTGCCCTACCACTAGCAACAGCACACTGCTTGAATGGCTTTAGAGACTGATCAACTACTACACCAAGATCCCTTTCCTTCATAACATTATTAAGGTTATTCCCATCCATATTAAACTTATAATTCAAATTATAACTCACATGCATTATCTTGCATTTATTATAATTAAAACCAATTTGCCATTTATTTACCCAACTCACTAAATGATCTAAATCATTTTGTAAATCATCAGTATCCTCTTCCCAGCCAGCAACACCCAAGACCTTAATATCATCAGCAAATTTAAGTAATTTATTGAACATTATTTCATCTACATAAGCAGTAACCTTTTCAAAGAATGTTAAAAGATTTGTAAGGCAAGATTTTCCCTTAGAGAAACCATGTTGATTATCCAATAAAATTCGAATCTTTGTTAAATGACTTTGTAAAGCATCTTTTATCAGACTTTCCAAAACTGTTCTCACAACTGATGTAAGACTAATGAATCTATAATTACGAGGACAATTTTTATCACCTCCCTTGAAAAGAGGAGTTACATTAGCTAACTTCCAATTCTCTGGTACCTGCCCACTATTCAAGGACTGACAAAAAGATGTATTAAGTGGCTAACATATCCAATCTTTAACCTCCTTCAAAACCTTGAGGAAATATTATCTGGCTCAGGAGCCTTATCATTAGTTAAACTTCTCAATTTTTTCTTAACCAGCTCAGAATTAATACAGTCATCTTGTTCAATCTCGTTTCCATTCTATCAACTGTTAAAGATATGGAATACTGCTTAAGTCTTCGTTAGTAAAAACCGAAGAAAAGTAAAATTTAATAACCCAGCCATATCATAATCATCAGATACGAGCCTTCCTTTTGTTAACCGTAATAATGTATTTAAAAAAATTCTCACTGTTATTTTTTACATTTTCAGGCAACCTTTCCTCATACATCCTTTTTGATGTCCTAATTTCCTGTTTCACAAACTTTGTCTTCTATAATCTTCTAAGTCTCTTGTCATACCAGTCAATTTAAATTTCTTAAATTTATAATGCTTTTCTTTCATTTTATCTCTTATACTCTTTGTGATGAGCCAACCTGATTTTTTACTTATAGCTGCCCTTTTCTTACTAAAAGGGATATGATTACATTGAATTTTAAAAAATGTTTCTTTAAAAATGTTCCACATCTGATCAATGTCACCAAATAACTCAGCTTCCCAATTCACAACAGTTAATTCTTGTCACATCCCTTCAAAATTTGCTTTTATGAAATTTGTAACTACAATTAATATCTGTCAGAATAGCAGCTACAATTAATATCTGTCAGAATAGTAACTACAATTAATATCTGTCAGAATAGTAACTACAATTAATATCTGTCAGAATAGCAGCTACAATTAATATCCGTCAGAATAGTAGCTACATTTAATATCTGTCAGAATAGTAGCTACATTTAATATCTGTCAGAATAGTAGCTACAATTAATATCTGTCAGAATAGTAGCTACATTTAATATCTGTCAGAATAGTAGCTACATTTAATATCTGTCAGAATAGTAACTACAATTAATATCTGTCAGAATAGTAGATACATTTAATATCTGTCAGAATAGTAGCTGCAACTAATAACTGTCAGAATAGTAATCACAACTAATAACTGCCAGAAGAGCAGCCACAACTGTCAATAGTTGACTAACTTCTATATTAAATACTGACAAGAATCTTACACCTAGTAAAAAAGCGTTGAGATACACACACACACATAAAAAGTATTATAAATGAAAGGCCAGAAGTAAATAACATTTCTTGCACATGGACTTGTACCAAATTTTAGTTTTCCTACATTAAGCACATATAAAATTTAACATCATGCATATAGTTCTGGCTAAGAATACAACAAAAAATCACTCTCTTCTCAACTGGAAGTAGCAAAATTAAATCCCATTGATATTTTAAGCCTCATTCTGCAGTATGCGTACATAATAAGCTTTGTGAGAAATTATGTTATTTACGAAACACTGAGTTCATAGAATAAACAAAATCAGGTTATGTGAAATGTGAGGTGTCTTTTTCTCATGCCTGCATATAATTTTCAACAGGATTAGCTGACTTGAAAAAACATTGCACTGCTTTTAAATACACGTAAGAATGTACATTATATCAGTACCAACTTAACCTAACTATATCAACGTTTCGATAAGTTCCCTCTTCATATCTTGTTACAATTATAACACACTCATAAGTAATATTTCTCTAATTTTCTCTTTTTGTATCTTGAAGCATTTATAACCATAGCTATCCTCTCTCAAATTGTCATAATGTTTAGTTTGTATTTTATTACACTTACAATCAACCTTCCTCTAATTCTATGTTTATATCTTATTACACTTATGATGAATATGCTTCTTATTGTTGGAATCATGAAGATAACAAATCTTCTCAGAACACATATATGAAATGTAATAATTAAATTTCATGATCAACAGTAGCAGTTACTATCTTAAAAACTTGAAAGTTGCAGTAAAAGTGTCACAAACATTTCTTACTACAGAAGAATTAGTTATATATTTTTATTATGTTATTCACAATTTCCTACTGAATTTAATTATGTGTGTTTGATTAACTATACTTCAACTCTCATCCAATCTGTTCACAAAACATCATACAAACAAAGCCTGAGAGTTTCTTATCAATTCAATCTATGGACAAACATCACACAAACAAAGCCAGAAATGTTCTTATTAATTCAATCTACAGACAAGCATCATACAAACAAAACCTTAGATTTTATTATTAATCCAATCTATGTACAAACATCACACAAACAAAGCCAGAAATGTTCTTATTAATTCAATCTACAGATAAGCATCATACAAACAAAACCTTAGATTTTCTTATTAATCCAACATATGGACAAATATCACACAAACAAAGCCTGAGATGTTCTTAAAAACTGAGTTTTTCTTCTTTGATGTAATGTTGGATATGATTTGTTAATTTATTTCAAAACTTGAGGCTATATATTGTTGAAAAAGATAATATACACTGGTCAAAGACTTGTACTATACCTTTTGAAGTTCAGTAAAAAACTATTAATAATAAAACACAAATTATCATAGCTCCAATTTTACAGTAATCTTTATACTTCTGTATTTGACTGTTATTTACATAATGACTAACATCTCCAAAACATATGTAGAGTTGTAATTATTTAGGCAAATGATAACTACACTAAAAAATACATGAAGAAATTTTTATTTTCACACTATATGAAATCAAAGAATGTGTGAAGTTGCATTATTAAGCAATGGGTAATGATGATAGAGTACATGATGTTGCACTTGGTTTTTATTTATTGGGTATTGTCCTCAGACAAAACATGAAGGTTTATTTGTTTGTTTATTTGATATTGGCCTGAATAACAGAGAGTTGCACTTGTTCATGTATTGGATATTCACCTGAGAAACATGAAGATACACTTGTTTATGTATTGTGTATCGACTTGAGAAACACACAGGTGCACTTGTTTATGTATTGTATATCGACTTGAGAAACACACAGGTGCATTTGTTTATGTATTGGATATTGGCCTAAGAATCACAAATGTGCATTTGTTAATTTATGGGGTATTGGCCTGAGAATCACAAATGTGCATTTGTTTATGTATTGGGTATTATCTCGAGAAAGAAAATGAAGTTGAGTTTAATTAATTAAAGCAAGACAAAGCTGCAAGTTTGTATCATATGAGACCCATTTTGACGTAAACTTCAGATGAACCATGAAATAGTTTCTTTTCTGGTTCTTCCATCAGGGATTCAATTAATTGTCACTAAAATGGGAAACAGTTGTTTGAACAGTCGTATTGCAGGTACTTTATCCTATAATTCTTTGTTGAAGTACTTATGTAGTTACTACATTCAAGTTACTACATTTTTCTTATCAATGTTGTTACTACTGCACTCATACCCACAAGGTCATACGAGTTTGTGACTAGGAAACATCTTTAAAATAATTTACAAATATAACATTTGTTACAGTTTCTGAAGTTACAAAGAAACGGAACTAAAGCAGAATAAGGAAAAAAAGATATTTTCTAACTCACTAACAAGGCATCAAGTAAATTACTAGAAAACAGTGTCAAACCTGGCTAAGCTTTCAGCTCTGTAACTCCTCACGTCCTGACGAAGTTTGTCCATTTCATTACGCATCACAGCGAGTTCCTGGACTATTTTTTCCTAAAAAGAGAAGAAAATTATGAAAGATACTTAGCTTAATTCGTATATAAACAAAGTCATAATGAGGAATTCTGTTGCATAGTAAAAACCACAGAAATAAGAAACATCAAGTTTATCAAACTCTTTACTGTTCTCAACCCATTTTCTCTAGTAGTTGTAACACTCTTGGAAAGGGAATGAAAAGATAGCTATAGTTACAAAATAAATAAGGCACAAAACCACTGTAGAATATGCACTACATGTAATTTTTTGTTTTTCCTCAGATAGTTATATACTAAGTTTTTATTATAAATAATATGTATCAGCTGTGGAAACAGAAAACTCAAATTGTCTTAGCAGGAACACCAAACAACCAATTGCTTCAGTGGGAAAGAAATGTTACATTCTGCACAAGAAAACCTTTATCTCTAGGAGCTTAGTTGGTACATTAGCCATTGAAAGTTCACAATAAAATGATAAATGAAGAATTAGTTAGAACTGATTCTTAGGGTTAGACTAGGCTGTATTTTAAACTCAACAAAAACCACAGTGTTGTTGGTACAAAGATTATGAGCTCAGCCAGCTACTGAAAATTTTATCAGTATCATTCAGTATTTTATCAGTATTAGTATTAATCAATTTCTTTTCTTATCAATATCAATCAGTGTCTTTTAAGTTTCAGTATCAGTTTCAATCATATCTTATCAGACCAGTATCTATCAGTATAATATCAATATCAAACAGTATCTATCAGTATAATATCAATACCAAACAGTATCTTATCAGTATAATATCAATCAGTATCACTTAGTATCTTATCAAAGTCAATATTACTCAGTATCTTATCAATATCAGTCAGCTACAGTTATCTTATTAGTATCATATCAATGTCAGTATCAATCAGCTACAGGATTCTTATCAGTATCAATGTCTTATCATTATATTTTCAGTTTCAGTAACAAGCAATCAGAATGTTATCAGTACTGTTAAATGGATTCATTCTGATTTGCATTGATAAAATTTTTATAAAAAGTAATTATAACATTTTAAATAAATAAACTGTTATACTCAGAAGCTTTTGCCAAATATAAAGACCTTAAAAATGGTTGGTTCACAGAAGTTAAATCTTAGAACAACTGTGGATACACTACATTAACTTAATGTGAATTAAATACCACAACAAATGTGAGTATTTCACATTCACTTGAATTAAATTTTAAAAAAGTATGTATATTTTATTGACATACACTATGGAAAATGTAATCTTAATCGACAAAGTAACACCAAAAAATACAAAATACCAGCAAAAGGATAAATATATAAATAAGTTCAAAATATGATGAAGAATTTATTTCTTAGCTTAAAAAACATTAGTAGTAGTCTTGCAAAGACCAAATTTTTCTTATCAAATAAAAATAATTCTTATCAAATATGTTTTGACTGAAACACCAGTAGTCAGCAGACTCTATTCTCCAAGAACAATTCAAATAAGTTAACCAATAAAGGATAACTTCAGGTTCTTAAGCTGCTACTTTAGATATGTACCCATAAGTGGAAATAAAAAACAGATCTAATTAGTAGCCATTCATAAATAAAACCATCCTTTGTGAAGACCTAATCCCTCAAACCTTTTCACTATGCGAGTCCTCTAATAGCTTCCGGGTATGATCAAGTTGCTGTGAGAGATTGTTTTTCTCATCTAAAGCATCCATTCTTTCTTTGAGGTGGAGCTGAAGACGTTCGTTAGACTCAGCAAGGAGCTTATCTACTGTTGCTGAGAGCCGCTGGTTGTGTTCCTCATTCATCTTCTCTCTCTGCCTTGCCTAGAGGAATATGAAATCTTCAATAAAAACAAATTTCTGATATATTTCATTCTTTTTTCAGATTAAAAACATGATTTAGTTTATACTAATATACATATGTAAGAGGCTTCCACACCTTAAGTCATATAGAACACTCCAGCAACAAAATATTTTTAATGCTCACATTTAAAATTACTTATTCTTATTTAAAAAAAATTAAATTATAGTTTACATTATAGTTATTTTAAGATTTCTTAGCTTCCTCATCTTCCTAACCCTTATTGAAATGTTCAACAAGCTATCTGATTTAATTCAGTTAATTCTTCTGGGAGAGACTTTTTCAAGTTGTTATCTCAGCTAAAAGTAACAATATCAAGCTGGTGTGTCAGTTAAGAGAGAGTAATTTTACCAAGCTAGTGAAGAGAGAGAGTACCTGTATGAAGCTGGTGTGTCAGTTAAAAGAGAGTGACTGTATCAAGCTGGTGTGTCAGTTAAGAGAGAGTATGTCTATCAAGCTGGTGTTTCAGTTAAGAAAGAGTACCTGTATAAAGCTGGTATGTCAGATAAAAGAGAGTAAATGTATCAAGCTGGTGTTTCAGTTAAGAGAGAGTAACTGTATCAAGCTGGTGTGTCAGTTAAGACAAAATAACTGTATCAAGCTGGTGTGTCAGTTAAGAGAGAGTATGTCTATCAAGCTGGTGTTTCAGTTAAGAGAGAGTACCTGTATAAAGCTGGTGTGTCAGTTAAAAGAGAGTAAATGTATCAAGCTGGTGTTTCAGTTAAGAGAGAGTAATTTTATCGAGGTGGTGAAGAGAGAGTACCTGTATAAAGCTGGTGTGTCAGTTAAAAGAGTAAAACACCAGCTTGATACAGGTCAGTTAAAAGAGAGTAAATGTATCAAGCTGGTGTTTCTGTTAAGAGAGAGTAATTTTATCGAGGTGGTGAAGAGAGAGTACCTGTATCAAGCTGGTGTGTCAGTTAAAAGAGAGTACCTGAATCAAGCTGGTGTTTCAGCCAAGAGAAAGTAATTTTATCGAGCTGGTGTTTCAGTTAAGAGGGAGTAACTGTACCAAGCTGGTGTTTCTTCCTATGTATATTAATTTATTGTTATAAAAGTCAATCTCAAGACTGGTCATATCAAGGTTGAGGTGAAACTCTCTGTATTAACAGTTGGTACTGGGTACGTAGAACACTTGTTAAACAACAAAACAAAGAGGATAAGTCACAATATACAAGTATAAAATTAGAAACACAGACAATTTTAAGAGGGAGGGGCAAAAAGGGCAATTCTGTGTAATATACCTTTACACTGCAGTATATTGAATATAACAGACTCAGCATGAGTTACTTACAGTATAATAAGTATACAAAACTCAGCACGAGTTATGTAAAACATAAATGCTGAAAATTCTGTCAAAACGTCAAGTAATGCAACCAAAACAGCAATTATGGAATAGGCTATCAAACATGCACTTTTTCAAATACTCACTTTAAAATCATAGTTCTCTGCAAAAATTATACATCTTTTTACATTCATTTCTTTACGGTTTGAAACAAAAGTTTACAAAGCTTAATTACCTTGATGTACCATTTATTTTTTGTTTGAAATAAACTGTAGCTACAAAAGAAATTTCTAGATTCTTTTAATTTGAGTTTAGAAACTTACCTTCATGAGTTCACTATTTCTTTCTTCCAGCTGCTGTTCAAGCCTCTGCACTCGGTCTTCTATACTCATGTGCCTCTCTTGTGCCTTGTGGTGAAAGTAACAACTTATCAGAAGCCTAATTACAATTAATGAAAGTGGGCACACACACATATATATATTCTGGGATATTGTTTTTTAAATATATAGTGAGGTAATTTGAAGTCTTTTAAAGTCAAGAGATTATATAAGGCATTCTACATGAAGAGGGTATAGTAATCGTAATAGATTATATAATAAGATGATCTACATAAAGAGGAAATAGTAATCATAATAGATTATATAATAAGGTGATCTACATAAAGAGGAAATAGTAATCATAATAGATTATATAATAAGGTGATCTACATAAAGAGGGAATAGTATAGTAATCGTAATAGATTATATAATAAGGTGATCTACATAAAATGGGAATAGTAATCGTAATAGATTATATAATAAGGTGATCTACATAAAGAGGGAATAGTAATCGTAATAGATTATATAATAAGGTGATCTACATAAAGAGGGAATAGTAATCGTAATACATTATATAATAAGGTGATCTACATAAAGAGGGAATAGTAATCGTAATAGATTATATAATAAGGTGATCTACATAAAGAGGGAATAGTAAATAAATACTAAAATCTGAGGTTTGGTTCCACACATTGGGCATAGCATAGATAGCCCATAATGCAGCTTTGCATTAATAAAACAATAACAAATTTCACTAAATGCATTACATACAGTTTTTAACCACTTTGCATAATAAAACATATATATATATATATAAACATGCACAATTAAGGTTAACAATAATAAAAACTAATGTAACTTGTACTTTGCCAGGTCTTTGAGTGCAAGATAATATAGGTTTTTATAAGCTCATTTGTCAGAAAGGTTTCTAAAAGCTTTCTGCCTAGTTTCTTTTATAAACAACCAATTTTCCAACTAAAACCAATCACAATAATATTGGGACCAAAATAAGTTTTTGATTTTCCAAAGAATATTTATCAAGATTTTGTCTATCTTGACAATGAAGGACTTGATCCTTTATGATTTTCCAAAGAATATTTATCAAGATTTTGTCTACCTTGACAATGAAGAACTTGTTCCTTTATGATTTTCCAAAGAATATTTATCAAGAGTTTTGTCTACCTTGA